CAGTTGAATTTGATCCATGACTCAAGCCTGGATGGGTTGCATTGTTAACCACAGTTCTCAACTCTGCTTGATGCAAGTTTGACATCACTGTTCAAGGCTTCATTCTCACGTGGAAGCCTGTTTACATTGTCAGTTGAAGGTAAGGCCTTAAGAGCCAGAGAGTATATTCAGTTTGTTCTTTTAGGGGAAATTTGGCGCATCTATGCATGATCCTTACCTCAATACATTTTTTGTTGTTATTCTTTATATCTGTTGTATAGAAGGGGTAACTTTACTAGATGTTGAAATTAGCTTTCTTCTAACATTTTCCTTTGAACTTAGAAGTTGCCTTTATGGCCAAATAGCAAGTGCTTCTTAACCCTTAACTGTTGATTTTGCATTTGTTACTGTTTTTCTTCCCCCTCTGTGGTCATCAGATTATAATAGTGGCTCTCTTTCAAAATAAGTGTTTGCTTTTTTCTTAAAATATTAACAGTTTTGAAGTGCTGGTCAGACTTTCATCCCCTTCTTACTTTAATCCTGCATTGTAGATGTTTTTGTTGAATCATACTATGTGTTTTTCTCAATTTAAGAAAAAAGTAATTAAAGTTCACGTTTAAAGCATACAATAAAATACCCAATTTGGAAATTCACTTATCTAGGAAGTGTGTTAAATTTTTTCACTAACAGAGTCCTATGAAAAATGCCTAATATGCTGCAACATTTTAAAAAATGTTTTAAATTATGACTGCAAGAAATTAGGGAGTATAATAAATTTTATGTTATGAATACTGAATATATACTATGTGAGTTGTGGGAGGTTAATTTCACCTTTATGTAAGTATTTTGAGATTCTCATAGAAATTGTTACATTCATGTTCAGCAGTTTTTGTGAACAAATTCTATAGCTTGAGAAACATAGGAACTGGTCCTAAGAATTAGATAACTCTATGGACTCACATTGTTCTGAGAATTATCTGATGTAGAAGGTTGTGAGAGAGTTGAATTTTAAAATAAGAAAATAAAGTAAAAATCATGGTGAATGAAAATTTCTCATTTGAATACATTAAATTACCCAAGAATTATAAGACATGCAGCTTGGATAATGCAACCCTAGGCGGACACTCAGAAAAGAAGAGAGATCAAGCAGAACCCAGGGCACTCTGAAATCAGCAGGTCGAACAAAAAGAGAGGATTTGGTAGATGAAGGTAGGAAAGCGTGTCCTGTGTTGTAGAAGGGAAACCAGGAGGATTTAGTGGCAGATGCTAAGAGAGAAATAAAAAGTGTTATTAGATGAAGAGCCTTGCGGATTGTTCCCAAATGGCCAAATATGAAACAAATTGAAAAGCAACCATTGATTAAAAATGTGGAGGTCATACCAAGAGCAATTTCAAGACGTCAAGAGTAGGTTCATTAAAGAATGCAAAGGATACCTCATTTTGATTTCCATTTCTCTGATAATGAGTGATGTTGAGCATCTTTTCATGTGTTTTTTTTGCCATCTGTATGTCTTCCTTGGAGAAATGTCTGTTTAGTTCTTTGGCCCATTTTTTGATTGGGTCATTTATTTTTCTGGAATTGAGCTGCAGGAGTTGCTTGTATATTTTTGAGATTAATCCTTTGTCTGTTGCTTCATTTGCTATTATTTTCTCCCAATCTGAGGGCTGTCTTTTCACCTTGCTTATAGTTTCCTTTGTTGGGCAAAAGCTTTTAAGGATGGCTGCTATCCAAAAGTCTACAAGTGATAAATGATGGAGAGGGTGTGGAGAAAAGGGAACCCTCTTACACTGTTGGTGGGAATGCAAACTAGTACAGCTGCTATGGCGAACAGTGTGGAGATTTCTTAAAAAAACTGGAATTAAAACTGCCATATGACCCAGCAATCCCACTTCTGGGCATACGCACCGAGGAAACCGGATCTGAAAGAGACACATGCACCCCAATGTTCATCGCAGCACTGTTTATAATAGCCAGGACATGGAAGCAACCTAGATGCCCATCAGTAGACGAATGGATAAGGAAGCTGCGGTACATATTCAACCATGGAATATTACTCAGCCATTAAGAAGAATTCATTTGAATCAGTTCTAATGAGATGGATGAAACTGGAGCCCATTATACAGAGTGAAGTAAGCCAGAAAGATAAAGACCAATACAGTATACTAACGCATATATATGGAATTTAGAAAGATGGTAACGATAACCCTATATGCAAAACAGAAAAAGAGACACAGATGTACAGAACAGACTTTTGGACTCTGTGGGAGAAGGCAAGGGTGGGATGTTTTGAGAGAACAGCATCAAAACATGTATATTATCAAGGGTGAAACAGATCACCAGACCAGGCTGGATGCATGAGACAAGTGCTTGGGCCTGGTACACTAGGAAGACCCAGAGGGATGGGGTGGGGAGGGAGGTGGGAGGGGGGATCGGGATGGGGAATACATGTAAATCCATGGCTGATTTATGTCAATGTATGACAAAAACCACTACAATATTGTAAAGTAATTAGCCTCCAACTAATAAAAATAAATGAAAAAAAGAAGAATGCAAAGGAAAGAAATGGAGAGTTGATGCTAACAGGTTCACAGTAGATTTTTCTGAGCAGAGATGTGGGATAAAGAATGGAAGGGAATCTGAGGACAAGTTGTGTCTGCCTGGGGCTGGCAATACTCGAGTGATGTTTCTTAAAGGTAAAGAAGAAACTGCCTTACCAAGGGACATTCAGAGATATGTAGGGTTACTTTTGGTTGGCACAATTATTAGAGTGCACTCCTGGTATTTACTGGGCTGCAGTGGAGCTAAACATCCTACAGAGGCTATTAGGGCATTCTGTTTTGAGAAGGAACTGTCTTGCTCCAAAAGTGTTGAGCCCATTTATATGCTGATGGTAGTGGTCTGTCTTGAGCTGTGCTTTTATTTGATTCTCTCAACAAATATTTTAGTTGACCAAATATCTGCTATGTACTTGATCAGTCTTTCCATGATAAATTCATAGTCTATTTCTGACTTGTTGCTCAACAATACGCATTTAGAAAGTACCGATATGATTTATCCAAGCTGAGTTTAAGCTCACAAACTCTGATTTTCTATTTATGAGGAAAACAAAAGGCTTTTAGACAGTAATGATTTCATTAGTGGTACAGAGTTATTTAGTATGTGTTTTGCAGATTTTTTTTCCCTTTAGTTTTCTTTATAATTCTTGTCCTTAGGGTGGAATTCTCATGATTTTGAACCTCTGGAGAAAATCAGCAACTTTAGATCTCCTTAAATATTTATTCCTTTCTTTAAAAATTATTATATTGGGGTATATCTGATTAACATTCTTCAGGTGAACAGTGTTTCAGGTGGACAGCGAAGGGACTCAGCCATACATATACATACAACATTAATTTTTGGTTTTTTTGTTTGTTTGCTTCTTTGCACTTTATTTTCATTTGCGTTTTGTTCTTTTCCTAGCCTTTTCATTTATTTTTGTTTATATTGATTTTGGCATTTAAGGTTACAGAGTTTCTTCTGATTACTTCTTTCAATGAATTTTATTTATCTAATCCTTTTTAAAATAGCTTTTGTATGGTTTTTCAACTGCTTCTTCCCCATATTTACTTCAAAAAAAAAAAAAAAAAGTCTGTTCATACTACCGGAATAACAAGTTTGAAACTCAGACCATAACTTTTGTTCCTTATAGTCACTCACTGGTCGCCATGTCTTATCTGATGAATTGGTTGCCATATGGTCTGTGATCTAAGGATACTAAGAATATACTTCAAGGGCTTCCAATATATTTTTATTTCGCCTCCTCTAACTTTCAACAGTGTCACATGGCATCTACTTTAAAGTATATCAAAAGCACCTTTTCCTCTGTAATTTTTTTTTTTATCAGTTTTCTTTGTTTGGAACACTTTTGTCACAGTTCTTACCCTTTCTAAATATTTTCTATGCTGATAAAATATGTCAGGCTTTTGCACTTGCAGTGTCATCTCTGACACTTACGCTCAGTTTGGTGTCGTTTTTATCTCATTGTGTCTTATAACTGTTGTTCATTGTTCTTTGCTCTTAGCTCTTGACTGGAGCTTTTACTTTTAATCTCATTTTCTACTGCTAACCTGTACAGAGGCTGTCTGATGTGTGGTGTAAGGACTTTTTGCTGTTTTGTTTTATACACACACACACACATAGAGTCATAAGGAAAAGGAATGTGGACTTTTCTTCTGAGAATAGTTTCGGCAGTGTGTTATAGTAGAAATGGAATGGGGTTAAGAGGTAGGTTGAACTGAATTTAAATTGTGATTCCATTACAAAGTAACTGATGTCCTCAGAAAAGTGATTACAATTCTCAAGGCCTTCATTTACTTTTCTATTAAATAAGGATAATAGTGACCTTACCAGATCATTGGGAAGCTTAAAAATGGCATATGTAAGGTACAACTTCTACCACATAGTAATTACTTGACTATTATTGGTATTACAATTATTATTTAATTATGAGTATTATTTGGTGGGCCATATCACATACTGAGAACTACTGAGTGCTAATGGTCCATTTAAAAGAAGATATAACAGAAAATTAACTGTAGTGCCTGGCCTTGAGGAGTTTATGATCTTTCATAGAAGGTAAGAAGACATATACAAATATCCATTTTTTTAAAAAGTCATTATGTGATTTTCACAAACACTATAAATATTATTAATGTATCATAGAATACCTTCTGTGCTTTATAGATACTTTGAAGATTAGGAATCTAACAGTTAAAGAGTGAAGGTTAGTATGTTTACCCTACTCCCCTAAACTGATAAGGGACCTGTAGGAATTGGCGACTAGTTCCTCTCAGTTTGGAGGAGGTATTTATCTCCTGTGTTGTACTGCATCCCTGAGAAATTGTGGCAAGCCATATAAGATGTACGTACTAGCAGCCCCTGAATCCTGAAGAGGTGAGCTCAGTCTTGACGCAGCTGACAGCGAGTGGCCTTAGATGAGGTCTTAGATGAGGAGGAGGTCTTAGATGAACCCTGAGGGTGAATGGGCTTTCAGCAGGCAGCGGTGAGGAAGGGAGTGTCATTGAACAAAGGGGCAGGAGTTCTCTGTGGTCTGCTTTTTGGGGGTATTTAGTTTAAAAGCTTTAAGCCTTTAAAATTTTTGAGGGCTGTGACATGGTATAGCTCTAGATGAATATAAGGTTTACTTTGCAGAACAATGTAGGACATTCTGAAAGGGAAAGGAGTATATTAAGGCTTCAGTTGCCTTTCCCTATTGGCTGAGTTGGTAAAGAATCTGCCTGCAATGCAGGCGACCAGACTTAGATCTCTGGGCCAGGGAAGATTCCCCTGGAGCCCTGGAGAAGAAAATGGCAACCCATTCCAGTATTTGTGCCTGGAGAATTCCGGGCAAAGCCTGGTGGGTTGCCTGGGGACCCACAGTCCTTGGGGTCACAAAGAGCTGGACACGACTGAACAAGGAACACACACACAAGACTTCAGTTTGGAGGCTATTGCAAGAATGATTTGGTGAGCGTAGTGACTGGAGGAATGCCAGGGAAAGGACAGATATAAGAGACGTGGAGGAGGTGGCATGGCAGTTTGCAGCAATAAGACATGCAAAAGGCTGTAAGTTTCCAGCCTGGATCTTGAGGAGAATAGTGGTTCCAAAAAAAAAAAAAAGGTATCTTTCAGAAGAAAGGGCAAATACATGTTTCCCTAAGACTCAGTGGAGCCTTTTGGCTGGGACCACCAACGATGGCTCAGGTTCTTAGACACAACCTGGTGCGTGCTCACTCTAGTCCAGAAAGTGATCTGATGTCTTTCCGCTGCTATACCATGAGTGCTGACACGATGCCTTTGATTTTTTTTTTAAGAGGGATGCCGTAGAGGCAGTGTGAGTTTGTACAGGCTGTCAGAGCTGAATCTCCTGGCTAAACTCTTGGGAATCTCACATTTCCAATCAAGCAAGTGTTCTGCTTGAGTTCCCCCCTGTTTCGCAGGACGGATGTCAAAGGGAGCATGCAATTTTGTTTGTGGGTCACTGACTAATATATGAAAGGGAAATCCCATAGGATATCTCCATTCTTCTCCAAATGTTGTTCCATAGCCTTAAGCTTTATAAGTGAAAGAAAATGCATACTGCTTATCAAAGGGCAGGAGAGGGGCAAATCAATTCAGACATGTTGCATTGCCATTAAGGTTTGCCATTAAATGCAATTGCCATTTAAGGGTTTTGAGTAAAGCTTCGTGTATTTTTTTTTCTTTTTTTGACCAGTGTTTGTCAGGTTCAACTCTAACCACGGGTTCCCAGTGGAGGTCGATTCTGACACCAGCATCTTCCAGCTCAAGGAGGTGGTTGCTAAGCGACAGGGGGTTCCGGCTGACCAGCTGTGTGTGATTTTCGCAGGGAAGGAGCTTCGGAATGACTTGACAGTACAGGTGAGTCTCCCTTGGTGGAGGGTTCCTGGGCTGCGGCCAGCCCCATTGCTTATGCTGCTTGCGCTGCCAAGCTGCCATTCATGCCTGAGATCTAATAGAATAAATAGTGCCTAGGGATTCCTTGAACTTTACTCCACACCGCTTCATTAATTCTGACCTTCTTAATTATGCATTAAAACAGCAAGCAGGAAGGATTGTAAGAACAACTGTGGCTAGGAGAGAGAAGAGAGGGGGAGAGAGAGAGCGCGCGCACAGACTGGGCTTAGTGAATAAATGTTTACTGACTACAGGAGCAGCAAGGCACCGTTTCTGTGACTGTTCAATTTCTACCTTACTTATTCCATTTGAATCCTAATGAAGGAGTCACAGAAATTGTCCCAGATCCGGCTGCTCAGTCACCGTGCCGGGAGGGATCTGTAACCCAATTGTGACCCCTGCAGGATGGTCCCGGGTCTGCCTCCCGGAGCTCAGGATGGGAGGAGGTTTTGGGGCTCAGGGCCTTGGGAGCAGGCTCGAGAGCTCCCTGCCCATCAGCGGCGGAGCCGAAGGTGGAGGAAGACGCATGCACTGCGGCCATCCACCTGTGTGTTTAAGTTCTCCAGGTTTCAGTAACATGTTCCCCAGAATGGGTCGCTGAAATGTTGGAGAGGGTGCAGCGACTGTTTTTCTCTCCTTTCCCTGATGCTTTCTGGGCACCCCGGGGCTCCTCACAGCATCAAAGCGCTGTATCTTTTCACCGGGGTGGGGTGCGTGGGGGCTTCATTCCCAGCAGGGATTTCCACAGAGGAAGGGTGAACTGGGTAGGCGATTGGGGAGCAGTGCCTTCCTCTGGGAGTGGAGACCTGTCTTGTGTTGGGGAAGTCAGCAAACAGGCCTCCAAACGGGTTGAAGTTGTTCTCTGAGAAAGGATGAAAAACCAGTTGCTTTCTGTGGACGGTTCAGGTGACCCTGAAGAACCTGCAAACACATTCCCCACCTTCCCCTTTCTTAACCGGCACAGATGAGTTGCGCTTCTGCTTGCAGCCCTTTGGGGGACTGCTGCTGTGAACAGTGTGTGTGTGTTTTGGGGGGGGGTGCTGTATCTCTACCCAGAGTCCCTACTTTAGTGACATCCTGTCGCTGCCTCTTTTTGGTGATGATGTTTACTGCTTTGCAAAAGGCTTTCGGATCTGGGTGTAAGCGAGATGCTATGGAAATCTGAATCGCCCTGGCTTCCCCAGCTCCTCTCCTCTGACAGCAGTCTGCTCCTCTCACGGTGCACACACGGTGCTCTGCTTTGCTTTTAGGCAATTTGTTTTTATAAAGGAAGAGCCTGTTCTGAAAAGTATTTTGGGTTTTTTTTTTTTTAATTTCAGTCAACTAGAAAGCTTTTTTTTTTTTTTTAATGTACCTGCCAACCTCTAAAACCAAGAATGTTCCCTTCATAAATTATTTTAAAACAGCTTCTTGATCAAAAATATTTTATGTTACCCGAAGTTTTCAGGTTCTAGAGCTTCTCTCCTCTACCACTGGAGTGGATAGGTTATACCAATTACCATAGACAATTGATTTCTACAGATAGATATAAATGTAGATATATGGATAGATTGATTAAGATTCTTGATTTTAACAAACACTTCCAGTATTCTGGGCTTCTGAGGGGATCCTAAAGAAAGGCAGAACTCACTGCTGTTTTTGTAGACACTGCTGTTTACTTAGGCCCTGTAAAATCAACAGTAATACTAGACTGAACCACATAGGTTAAAACTATCAGCAGTTTCATGTGGCTCAAACTAATAGCTATAACATAAGGGTGTCAGACATGATAACTGCCATATGAAAACTGAAATAAAAGTATTATGAAATTTTAAAGGTATAGGAGACACAGCTGAATGAAAGTCACCAATAAAGACTTCTGGGTGAGTTGAAACTCAAGTAGGATTCTGGAGATGAAGAATGAGCATGAGAGGTGTGTGGGAACAAGCATAGATTCCTATTCTTGTAGAACCTAGAGGAAATGCTGTAGGTGGGGTGACAAGGGAATTGGGGGCTGTATTTTGCAAAGCTTTGACCCATGTGACATTGAGTTTTCTTGTGTGGAGATGGAGAATAAAATAGGATGCCCTGGAGGGACAATGGGAGTCTGGAGATCCTGTTTGGTCACTGACAGGAGTTTCACAGATTACAAGAGTTAATGCCAGGGGGACATGCTGGCAGGCAGTTATACGGAGGTGCTGAGCTCAGGGCTTGCTTTCTGTTTGAGGACTCTACATGAAGGTAAGTATTGCAGTAACTGGAACAGATTCAGTTGCCAAGGTGCAGAGGACACGGCACAAGCGATTCCTTAGGTAACAGGAGAGGAGTTGGTGTAGGAGGCATTGTCCATCCAGCTGACATTTTCATAGATAATTTGGGAAAGAAAATCACTAGTAAAGAATGTTTGTGCTGTGAAAACATGGAGGATGAGGAAGAAAAGAGCCTTTGGACGTGGTGATAGTGGTGGTGACCTAGGGACCTTCGGGCCAGGACTGCAGTTGGAAATAACCAGCTTTCAGGGATTCAGCATGAATCTTGGGACTTCGTCATGGGCGCAGCTCAGCTGGCCATCGAGGGGAAGGAGAGGCGGGGAGTTCCTGGAGGATCAGTGGTTCCCGCACTGTGTTGTACCTTTCACAGCCCTTGACTGTGCACATGGCTGACTTTGATACAGTTGTAATCGGTGTGAAAATGCAATTTTATGTAGTAAATCTCTTTCCCTTAACATTATATCATAGGCTTTTTCCATGATGCTGTATAATCTTCATTTCTAAGTGTCTAGATGATCCTCTGTAATGAGAGTGTTTATATTATATATAGGGAGCATCTAGTTTTTAATATTACAAATTAAGGCAAAATAATTTTTTAAATGGTATCTAACATACTTAGAGAATATGGCCTCTGTGTTTCAATTTGCATGAAGAGATTCTCTTGGTATGCCCAGTTTTCTTGAAGAAGTCTCTAGTCTTTCCCATTCTATTGTTGTCCTCTATTTCTTTGCACTGGACACTGAGGAAGGATTTCTTATCCCTCCTTGCTATATCCTCTGGAACTCTGCATTCAGATGGGTATATCTTTCCTCCTCTTCTTTGCCTTTTGCTTCTCTTCTTTTCTCAGCTACTTGTAAGGCCTCTTCAGACAACCATTTTGCCTTCTTATATTTTTTTTTTCTTTGGGATGATTTTGGTCAACCTCCTCCTGTATGATGTTATGAACTTCCATCCATAGTTCTTCAGGCACTCTATCAGATCTAATTCCTTGAATCTGTTTGTCACTTCCACTGTATAATTGTAAGGGATTTGATTTAGGTCCTATCTGAATGGCCTAGTGGTTTTCTCCACTTTCTTCAATTGAAGTATGAATTTTATAAAAAGGAGCTGATGTTCTGAGCCACAGTCATTTCCCGGTCTTGTTTTTGTTGACTGTGTAGAACTTCTCCATCTTTGGCTGCAAAGAATGTAAAATATGATTTCGGTATTGACCATCTGGTAATGTCTTTGTGTAGAGTCTTCTCTTGTGTTGTTGGAAGAGGGTGTTTGCTATGACCAGTATATTCTCTTGACAAAACTCTGTTAGCCTTCGTCCTACTTCAGTTTACTCATTTGTAAAATTGAATTAATAATAATACCTCTCTCATTGGGATTTTGTGAGGACTAAGTTAATTTATGTAAAACTCTTACAGTAGAGTGTGACATGTGGTAAACTCTGTCTATATGTTAGCATTTGTTAGCATCATCACTATCATAGTTGTCACTATTGTTTTTATTACTATCAGGGTCTAAGTGATCACCTTAAATAACATGGCAACTCTCCATCATGAATTATGATGAGTATATATGCAATAATTTAAACAGTTAAGGCCATGATAATAGGATGTATATTTTACTGGGGCAGTAAAATGTGTGTGTGTGTGTGTGTGTGATATTTATACATTTTAACTGAAAAGAACTTTGTGGAGTTTATAAATAGATGTTTGACCTTCATATTCATAGGCTTTACTTAGAATAGTAGAATTTGAATTCAGAAAACTTACAAAACTTTACTATTCCTCAGATATTTACTAAAAATAGACACCTATGGCTGTGCTGTTCAGTAAAGATTCATCACCACATTATGGCTTTTAAAATGTATTTTTATTAAGTAGATATCTGCCACACACTATATTTGTTAGAAGTAAATTGGAAAGACCTATACATTTTTCCTACTTCATAAACAATGTTTCTGTTCATGTTTTTATTATTTTACTTATGCTTACAAGTATGTAATCTAAAATATTGGTGTTTGACATATTATTCACAGTGAACTGATATTTTTTTCCTTGTCGGCTCTTGGAGCAGAGTATTCAGGGACTAATCAAATGTCACCCCTTCTCCTATCTTTCAGTTCTAACACACTGCATATCAAGAATCCCTGAATCAGCTTTACTAATCATCAATTTATTATTCAAAATTATACACAGAAATTAAGATTCTACGTAGCTGTATATGCCAAAACTGATGAAATTTGCAATTAGACTAACCATTAAAATCACAGGAACTTGAGAATTTAGATAAGATTTTTGTTTGAGCAGAATTCACTGTATTCACATGAGCTGTAGTATTATTATTAATATCAGTATAGGTTATTAGCCCAGTGTATTAGTTAGAGATCTCCAGAGAGACAAAATAGATAGGTAGGTAGATAAAAAGAATTGGTTGCACAGTTTTGGAGGCTGACAAGTCCCTAAATCTGAATCTGTCAGCAAACTTAGTTTCATTCTGAGTCTGAGGACCTGTAAACTGGAAGAGGTGATGGAGATGTCCCTTTGTGAAGGCTGGTAGGCCTGCAACTCAGGAAGAGCTGATGCTTCAGTTCAAGCCAAAAGCTGCTCATGCCCCCTCCCACCGCCCCTTCAAAAAAACGCACGAAGTGTCCCAGCTGGATGGCCATTGGGCAAGAGGAATTCCCTCTTACTCATGGGAGGGTCTAGTGCTACTATTTATAGA